GAGAGGTCTGCCTCCCAGGTGGGTTGCTCCCTGGCCAGCCGGGGATCCAACTCGTGCTGCAGAGGCTGTGGATTGCTTCATAGTGCGGTGCTTAACCCCTTGCGCCACCAGGGAGGCTGGGTGTTGGTCATGTTAAAGCAATTATCATCAACCTACCCGCTCCCATCTGCCAGAGGCTGGATCTGAAATACAGACATCAGCTAATCAGTGCAAGGTAGTCCCCTTGTCCAGGTAGGGCACTTGACCTAACATGGCCCATATAGGGCGGAAGGACTTTTATTCCATAAATGCAGGAAAGGACTCCTTTTCCCATGGAGGTAAACAGGCAGGAACACCAGATAACAGAGCAGCCACTGCGAGCCTGAGAGGAGGAGGCAAAACTGCCAGGGAGAGAGGGGAAGGACTTAGATCCTTGCTGACACAGTCGAGCTTCTGGATCAACCAGCTCTGAAATCCTACCTACAGGTATTTGAACAAATACATTTTCATGTTATCTTAGGCATTCTGAGTTGCGTTTTCCTCCGTTTGCATTAGGAAGCATTGTACCTTCCAAAATGACAGAAATTGCTAATAACCTATTATTTGTTAAACAGATATTTTCTGTTAAGCCTAATATTTAAAAAAATTATTTATTTTTGGTAATATAGAATCAATTTATAATCAGGAGGGTGTTAAGTATGGATTTAGAACTAGGGGAGTTCATTCAACAAACTCTTAATAACTACCAAATATTAGGCATTTGAAGGTTTAGTGACCAGAGTGAGATCATTCATTCATGTGCCACTGGGTGCTCCCAGCCTCCGAAATAGCCAGGGTACTAGAATCCCCTTGCAGTGCTTGATGGATATCCCAAAGTCAGAGCTCTTTTACCGCCATGGCTCTTTTACCGCCATTCAGACTTCAGATCTGAATTCTCTAAGGGAAATCCACATTTTTTTAAAGCATGTGTGCCTTCCTTAATTCAGACAGTACAGACTATGCAAGAGGTTTTAATTGGAGTTGCATTTATATTATAAACAATATAAAATCTTTTAAGTGTCATGAAGAAAATAACTAAAGCTTGTTGTTTTAAAGTCAGTTTTCCTATTTATCCTGGTTATTTGTTTCATATTCTGTATGAGAGGAAAACGTATCATCTCTTAAATGGAATCAAATCAAGGACCCTAAGGATTCTCTGAAGGTTGTATTCAAGAACTATTCACAGAACCAGGGACAAAAGGCCCTTAAGCAATCCCCTGCTTTCAGAGAGCTTATCGTCTAGTTTTGTAAGAAGTATTTCTTTGTCCAATGGAGAGCTGAAGAAATTGCAGAATAGTTCTGCAAAGTCCCTACAAGCAGAGCAAAATGTGTTTGTCTGATGAGGACTCCTGTAATAGCCCATGTGAGCAAATGAATAAGAAAAACAGCGTGGCAATTAAGTGAGCAAACTACATATAATATATTTAATTATAACAAAGGGGAGACAGCTGCTTTGTTTCTAAGTCCTCCAATTTTCTTCTGCATGATTAAAAATTCATATTTAAAGACTAATAAACCTCCCTCTAAAATACTTCCTCTCATTTATAATTTATAAGCCCTTTATGAATAGTGTCCTTTCGTCACATCTAATATTGTTAGCTGCTTTTTAAGACTTAGCAAACGCCAAAAACACAGCACATAAGAGACACAGAATTAAAAGACTAAAGTCACTAAGTACTGTCAGGCAAGGGTTTACTGTTCTGATCAGCACAGGATGGATGCATTTGGTTGTTACAGAAGTATGGAGCATCATTTCTCTAGGAATCTAGTCCCTCATTATCAGGGATTTATTTGTATTGGCTAAAAATTTCTTAATATAAGCTTTTGTTTGCTTGGAAATCTTAGAGAAGAAAATTCGTAGATATACAGTGTTTCTCTGATTTATGTGTCGTACTGTTCTTTATATTTGCCTTTCCTTTATCCACCCCTTAAACAAGTATGCCTTGGAAGTCACTTTAGCTTTTAATTCACAGTCATAACTACAGAGAGGCCAAAGTCAAGTATTATTCTTCAAACATACAGAATACTGTCCATTACCGAGATTAGGAATGGCAGAGAAAGCAGTGAAATTCAAAGACATGGGTATAGGACAAGGAGGATTCAAAGGTTTTCCCCTCAAACTATTTTCAGAGGCAAGTATTCTAATGCAGTTATTAGGAATGAGAACAAATATCTATTACATCAGTTCAACCAATCTCTTGAAAATGGTTTAAGAGAAGGAATTCAAGAAACAACACAGGCTTTCTTCTCATTTTAAAGAAATACTCAGAGCAGAGACCATCAACACATGTGCCTGGTTACATTACATACTGTGATTACTACAGTATTGGGCAATTGCAAAAGATTTCTGTCACGGCTCATTCTATACAGACGGTCCAGAGTGTGGGATGCTGTGCTTCTAAAGGAAAGTTGGTGACATGGTCCTTAAGAGATATTACAATACTATATTTGGAAGCAAACGTCACACCTACGCTTACCTCAAAATGTTTTTCAAGGTGCTCAAGAAGTTTTGGAAAACTCATTTACTTAAATTGTCATGATTTTCTTGTGAAGTTGTGGTGTAAGTTGGCCCCCAAATGAATTTTACCAAGCCCCGTCTAGCATGGCCATGCCAGATACCAACACCATTCCTGGCCAGGGAGCTCTCTTATATTCTTGCCCTGGAAAACACTGTTTCAGTTTAGGGATAGTCACATTGAGGGCTTCCATCTGCAACCTGCTTAAGACTTCAATTTTGTATTCTAGTATTATATAAAGTGTAGTATTCATATGGTTAGTGCTTTCCAAGTAGCAAAATGTAGTGAAATACTGCTTTATAGTGTTAAGAGGCAGGTAAATATAGCTCATTAACAGTACATTATAAGCACTGGCTCACTATTTCTGTAAAGCTAGACAAAGTCTCCTTTTCTGGAAGAGAGAAAATGAAGAGAGTTACAATAGGGTGTAAGGGTTAGGCAAACATTCCTTCACCAGGGACCTAAGAGGCAAACATCCAGAAGGAGGTCACCTGACTGCTTTAATTTTAGGGAACAAGGCTGTGCAAATATGGTCGATGATAACTGGCGGTGATAGCTTAGGACTTGGTTTTGGGTGACTTTTAAGTTGACAATTTCAGCTTGCTCTAAAACTAATTTTCTATTAGTTTCTCTACTTTTCTCTGTTAGAGCTAAAGATTAAATTCAAAGAAAAAAGAAAAGCATACTGGGAAGGCACCATGATAGAATTCCAATGGTCAAAGTCTACTGGTCAGAATTTAATCAGTTAATCTGTGATGCTCAAAAGTTCAATTAGCTGCATTTGAAGGGAAGCAGAGATGCCAGTGGTATATTAATACCTTATCAAAGTTATCATTTCACCGAAGACAAATGGAACATACAGAGCTCTCGCTCCTGAACTCTTCAGTCTTTTCTTAGCCCCTACTTGTTTTTCTTATTTGGACTTTCTACCCCTCCCAGGATTCAAGAAAAAAGTCTGAGCTAAGGAGCACTTGAAAATAAAGAAAAGCTAAAGTATAACAAAATTTACTGGAGAAACACATTATCTTTACGAACTGTGTGGCAGTAGTTCGCTACAGAAATGTGACATAGGACAGACAGCAAGTGCAGCCTGACAGCAGGAGCCCCCAGGAAGCCAGGACTTCCTTGAGGGTTTCCTTAGCCCTCCAGAAACAGACCATATGCCCCAAGTGTCACCAAGAACAGAGCAGGCGCAGTCACAGGAGTGGCTGCAGGAGAAGCAAATGCACATGACCCCAGCCCTCTCAGGAGAAAGGCATCAGCGTCAGGTGAAAGGCCTCAGCGCCACTTCACCTGTCTCTCAGGGCAATGCAGCCTGGACCACATTTCTGGCACTGGAACTCCAGTTCCCTGGAGCTCCCTGCTCTGCCATGCTGACCGGTGGAGATACCCCACCTCCAATCTGGGTCAGGTTTTTTCCTAAGATTCCTTCAGAGACCATGGTGTTTCAGAAAGCCCGCCTGGGTTTTAACTATTCACTGGTGTCATAACAGGATTGAACTGTTATTCTCCCACCACAGTGAAAGGCCCCTGAGACCAGGCAGTACCTGTTGTGTCTCCTGCACTATTTACAGCATCTGTAGAACCAGACTCCACACTATGTGTTGAAGGGGAAGGGGACCAATGCAGCCAGCCTGACCATACTCTGCATCCATGGCTTTGAACTTGAGCCTCTCTGTGGGACTGTAAAAGCCCAAATCAAAGCCTCCATCTGAGAAGGCACGTATCTGATAAAGTGATCAGAGAGTGACAAACATCTCAACGCTGATAACAAAGCAGAGGTTCACTGCATTGCTGATTTTTTACCACACAGGGCAAAAACAAAATAAAACACAGTGTAGTTATTGGAAAGGCTTTGGTTTAATTGCTGAGCATCTCCAGGTCCTATGGAAAAGTAAAGACTAAGCAGGGGCCTTCCAAGGTGTTTAGCTCTTAGGAAGGCATTAATAAACAACCACAACGCCATCTAGAAAGGAATGAAAAATGAGAGAAAGAGAAGAGACAAGAGGTCGTCGGAGAAAGAACAAGATGAGTCTGTCAATACCCACTGGGATTCCAGTACAAAGAGAGGCATTGCAGGCCAGGAAAGGTCAGACTGGAGTATCTGAGAAACACCCCGACAGACGGGCGAAGCCCTCCGCACGCCGCGCCGGGGGGCAGCAGCACACGGGAAACTGGGTCTTGAACTGGCTCCCCCAGAACCGAGCGACCGAAACGAGACCAAGAAAAAGCCTGCCGGGGTAAGTGGAGAAAAAGCAAGACGAACCCTGAAAAGGCTCATCCGCACACTGGGCGGCAGGCCCGGGCCCGGGCCCTCGGGGTCCGCACCCCGCTCCCCGCCACCCCGGCCCGCGCCCCACACTCGCGGCCCCGCAGCCGGACTCCGGCCCCAGCGCTCCGGCGCCCCCCCGGCCCGGCCCGGCCCGGCCCGGCCCGCTGCCCCGAGAGCCCGGCCCGGCCTCGTACCGTAGGTCTCGGACATGGCCGTCTGCGACATCTTGGAGCGGCGCCGCCTCTCGCCGCCGCCGCAGCTCCCGCCCGGCCGGCGCAGGGGGCTGGGCCGGCCCCGGACGGGGGGGGCGGGGGGCGGAGGAGAGGGGCCCGCGGTCCCCCGGCAACCGCCCGCCACCCCGCAGCTCGCGCAGGCGCTCGGCCTCGGGGCCGGCTCCGCGGGGCGCGCGGGGCGGGGACGCGGCGGCGGAGGCCGGGAGCTCGAGGCCGGGCCCAGCCCGCGGGCGCGTGCGCGGGGGCGCCCGGGCGCGGAGGGGGCGGGGGGCCGGGCCGGGGGCGGCGGAGGGGCCGCGGGGCGGCGGGGGGCGCGGGGCGGCGCCGGGGCCGGGCCCGAGGGGCGTGGGGAGCCCGGCGCTGGGCTGGGCGCGGGCGGAAGGGGCGGGGGGCGCGGGCACGGCGGGGCGGGCCGTGGGGCGCGGCTGGGCGAGCCCGCGCCGCGGGGCCCGGGAGGGGCCGGCGCTTGGCAGCTCGGGGTGCGGAGGGCCGGGGCCGCGAGATCTGGGGCCGAGGGGCAAAGCGCCCGCCCTGGGGAGCAAGACAAGCCTCGTGCGAGAGCGGCCTCTGCGGCTCTCGCCGGGACACTCCCCGGCGGCGCTGCCGGCCCCGAGCGGGCCCCGAGCTGCGGGGCGTCCAGCCCGGGCCCGCCCTGCGCCGCGAGGCCGCCCACCTGCCGGGCAGCCGCGGCCCCGGAGCCTGCCCGGACCCTCTCCAGGCCGAGCGGGCGTCCGAGGAAAACGGCAGAAGCTGACAACGGACCTGACCCAAGAGCCCTGGACACTGAGGACTTTCCCCCTCGCGCTGGGGGAACGTGGCGGGTGCGGGACGCGTCTCCGCCCTGCGGCCGGGGCTGCGTTTCTGAGACTGGGAAGCGCTGGCGTGGTGTTTGGGATGAAGAGGTTAAACTGAATTCAGATTCCGCTTCTGCTGGAAATGTGGAGAGAAACATTTATTGAAAAGAGACTTCGGGGTGGGAGTTTGCTCCACCTGCGCGTGATCTGCCCACATCCCATCATAAGACCCGACCTTGCTCAAAAGACAGAATACTAAAAATAAGCCTTGGCTGTGCTCCTAAGTGACTTGAACCTTGGGGAAAATACGTTGTTTTTTTTTCCAAGTCAATTTCAACTCAATTTTTTTTTTTTCAAGTCCATCCTTCACATAAATTAGCTTCAGCCCTTACCTGAACTCCTCCGCCTTCTCCAATGGCTATTTGGCTCTGCGTCTTATTCTCCTCTGTGATCCTTCTACCCAAGAAATGTGTTTGTTTCAAAGTCACAGAGAAGGCCCAGGCTCAAATACTGGAGCTATAATTTCCTGAGAGTTATTTTATATATTTTGTTCAGAGGCTCAGCTTCTTCGTTGCCTTCTTGTCTGGAATTTTGCTGGCAGGTTTGATTTATACTGAGTAAAGCAGAATAAATCTGATGAATACTATTTCAGCAGAAAGAAAGCGATCCCTGCCAGAAACTTTCTGTGACTAAGAAAGGAATCTACTGGGTTTTGAGATGTTTGAAGCATGGGCAGGGTGATAGAACTAAGAATTAAGCTGTCATTTCAAAGCTAAGAGCAGTCTTGTGTTCTTTGGAAAATGAAGACTCAGATAAATCTTTGGGAAAGTCTTTGTTTTGGGAAATTCACCCCCCCAAATCATCTAGTTTGCAAATATAAAGACAAAGATCACCACTGGGGGGGCAGGGGAGGACATCCCTGAGCTGAGTTTTTTTTTTTTTTTTAATCATTCCATAAGGACTTACACGTCTATGTTTTTTCAAGATAACGTGATATCCAGTCCCTGAGCTGAGTTTTGAAGGAGGCAACCTTTCTTGAATAATAACATGAAAGATTCTTTGTATCTTTGCACACTTTGGATCTTAGAGAAAATAAATTTTTCCTACGTTTTCTTGGAAACTGCTTTGATTCCGAGGCATTTCTGTGATGTGTGGAAAGACACCTTATTAAACAAAATTAACTTTTGTCTTCTCAAATTATTTTCTCCTTTCTCTCTGGGAGAGGTCTGTCTGTGGCACGTTGAAAGCAGGTTTTCAGAAGCCTAAGTCCATTGGTGATTGGTCTAAGGGGAATGAAGGAAGAAGGATTCCTTTCAGAATAGATCCCAGCCAGTCCTCAGGTTGGTAGGCCCTGCAGATAGCTAGCAAATCCCTTCTTGCCTGTCCCCCCTCCCCCTCCCCATGCTTCATCTGATGGCCAATCAGGAGGCTGAGAGGGCTGCCATCTCCCCATCAGGAGTCCTGGCAGAGGACTGGCTGAGAACCATGTAGGTGGGGACAGCACTGACTCTGCAGGGGACAGTGGGGACAGATGGCCAATGACTGAAGGCAACTTCTGGACTCCTAGGCACAGGGTTGGACTTAGAACAGTGGCCCATTTCCCCAGGGGAGCCTTGGAGAGGCCTAGGGAGGAGAATTCAGCCTGACTCCGACCTCCCAGGGAGCAATGGCATTCCTGGGCAGAGGGCTCTGGGCCCAGCCTCTATTGTATGGTGGCTTTCCTGGAGTTGAACATAAATGAAGCTGGGTCAGAGTACCTGGGGACTCAGAAATATCTGGGTGTTATTTTCAGAAGAAGTCAATTTTGCCACAAGCAATTGGAGGCTTGAAAGGGTTATCTCAGTTAAACACCCAGGCTGGTGATGCCTGTGACGGAGAACTCTTGTCTTCTAGTTGGAAGAGACCTGGAAGAGCCAAGCAAAGCCACCTCTGTGGTGGGGACACATGGGTTGTGGGAGACTGTCCAATCAGGACAGGCTAAATGGGCAGCGATCGCAAAGATCGCCAATGTGCCTGTGGTGTCGAAGTTCATCTCTCTCCCACATGGTCCTCCCCACTCCATGTGGGGTGACGGGGTCCCCCCTAAACACATGCATCTACATCACTCAGGCAGGAGGAGGGAGATGGCTCCAGTCATGCATTCCGTTTTGAAGATCCATCTGGAATTGATAGAATTGCTTCTGTTTTCATTTTCTGGGCCAAAACAAAGGATGCGGCCTTGCCAAATTTCAAAGCGAACAGGGAGTGTGCTATTGTGATGTCTCAGACAAAAGGAGGTGAGGTGGACAACTGCCCCTTTATTGACATATAGTTGACAAAACTCTGCACATTTCAAGGACACACTGATAATTGATGTATGTTCATACCTGTGTTCATTGCTTCTGGCGTATCTCTGCTTCTAGACCTTCCAGGGGACAGAAGTTTTTTTTTCTGTTTCATCTCCTATGTTGCTTATTACGGATGACTTCTTGTGAGGGGATTTCAGTGGTGGCTTTCGGGTTTATAGTATGGGTCTTGAACTTATCACAGCCCACCTTCAAGTAAGGTGTGATTTCATGGAGAGTTAAGAACATCCCCCTGGCCCCAACCAACTCTGCTGTGTTTGTCCTGCTTCTACATTGATTATATACCTCACATGAAAGGTTATTTTTGCTATACTTTTTTTTTTTTGCTTTAAGTAGTTTTCTCTCTTTTTAAAAGTTCTGGCAAAATACACACAATATAACCTGTATCACTTTAACCACCTAAGCCCACAGTTCTTGGCACCTAGCATTCTTCACCTTGATGCACAGCCACAGCGCCATCATTCACAGAAACTTTTCATCTTGTAAAACAGTGCTGCCCCCATTAAACATGAACTCCCTCATTTCCTCCCTTAGCCCCCAGAAAACTGCCATTTTGCTTTCTGGCACTGCACTTGCCAGCCTTCCATACCTCCTGTGAGTGGAGTCATGTTTGTCCTTTCGTGTCTAGCTTATTTCACTTAATGTCCTCACGGTTCATCCATATTGTTGCATGTGCCAGAATTTCTTTTCCTTTCAAGGCTGAATAATGCTCTACTCCATGTATATACCACGTTTCCCAGCAAACTCTCTTTTAGATAGACTTAGGTAATAAGAACAAGTATTTTCCATTTACCACATGGTTACCCTGTCTAGGACTCCTCAGCCCCTGGTATAGACTCAGATTTTCATTAGTGCCATTTCCTTTTTGGGGCAAATTGTAGGACATGAGTCTGAGCAGAAAGGAGGGGTGCAGTGAGGGGGTCCCTAAGGCAGTGATGGCTTAATAAGACTGCTCTTTGTTGAGAGTTGAAATTACCTCTGAGAGATTGATCCAGCCCCGCAAAGCTTCTTCATCTTAGAGATTCATGATCATGCTTGAATCTTGGATCCATCAGGAACTCCTGCCACTTCAAATTTAGATCTCCTGGGGCCCCCAGAAAGTACCCGTTTAAGGACTCTGAGGAGCTCCCTCTCTCCTCCCTAGGAATCTACCAGCACTGGGTGAGATGAGCTCCACTGCAAAAACCCCTGAGAACAGTGAATTTTAAAACTACTCAGAAATATGTTATTGAAAAATCAGGAAACCCTTGAATATCCCTGGACTATTGAATTAGAAGATCCTAATTGAAGAAATCAAGTTAAGGAACAAATGTAAGTAGTCAAGAAAATACTCATTAAGGGACAATAAAATCCACAAGTATTAGTTATTTTCTGGTTGAGTGGTTCCCCCTGGTGGATGCTTTGCTATACTTCCCCAAAATGCTTGTTTCTCAGGCTGCACTTCAACCAGGGAGGACAATTCCAAGGATTCCCAGCCTTATGATTCTCCAGGGATTATGTTGTAGGGAAGGTTATGATTTATGAAAGTGTCATGGGTTAACTTGAGTTCCTCCAAAAGATAGGGTGAAGTCCTGACCTGGTACTGTAAATGTAACTTTATATGAAAACAGGGTCTTTGAGATATAATTAAGAAGTAAATTAAGATCAGGTCCTTAATCCACTGTGGCTGGCGTCTGTAGAAGACGTGAACTGGGCACATAAGAGAGAGGGTCACATGAGCATGGAGGCAGAGATTGGAGCGATGCAGCTGCTGCAGGCACGGAACAAATTCTCCCTCAGACTCTCCAGAGGGAACCTACTCTGCTAAGACCTTGATTTTGGACTTCCAGGCTCAGAATTGTGAGAGAATAAATTTCTACTCCTTTTAAGTCATTCAGTTTGCATTTCTTTGTTGCAACAGCCCCAGCAAACTAATACAGAAAGAGTCTGGACTTTAGACTCAGAAGACTCGGTTTAGTCCCAGATACCACTTACTACTATGAGACCAT